TTAGCAGTATGTGTTTTAAAGATGGGGTTCAGATGAGCAGATCTAGCCTGGCCTGTTAGCAGTATGTGTTTTAAAGATGGGGTTCAGATGAGCAGGTCTAGCCTGGTAGTGTCCTCCACCCCTATTTGGCCTGGATCTTTTGAAAAACACAGCTCTGTTTTGTCATGGTTCAGGTCTCATGGCCTAGTCTCCGGTGACAGAGTTCTGCTGGGACCTGACAGATCTCTCACCCCACCCTAGCCACTGACCTCGGGTTCTGTCTGTACAATGAGAAAGCTTTGAGGGCTGGTGGAACATTGCTTTGGGCTTTCCTGGGAGCAGTGTGGTTGGTTGGAATGCCATCTTTGCCAGGGTCGCAGGCCTTACTTGAGTCCCACCTCAGCCTTGGCACCCCTCCCTTCCAAGTCTGCATGGCATCTGTGAAGTGAGGTGGGATGGCAGCCTCCAGGGGCCTTCTCTGCTGTGTCAAGTGGGCTGTTGGTGTGAGTTGGAGGGCTAGCTCCAAGGCCTTCTCAAACCCTGCTCTCTTCCTCTTCTTTACGAACCAGAAAATGACAGATGGCGAGACCTGGGTAGAAAGTGCCCGCTACGGCTTGACCAGCCAAGTGCCAGCCTCTGGGAGTGCCTGCCAGAAAAGTGCCCGGATGGTGCCTTGTGGCACAGGGAGGCAGTGACTGCCTGCACAGTGACCAGTCTGATTAAGGACCTCAGTCTCAGTGACCACAACGGGAATCCCTCCGCACCTCCCAGCAAGCGCCAGTGCCGCTCCCTGTCCTTCTCCGATGAGATGTCCAGCTGCCGGACATCATGGCGGCCCTTGGGGTCCAAGGTCTGGACTCCGGTGGAGAAGAGGCGTTACCACAGCGGAGACAGCGTCCAGCGCCACCCCAGTGGCTTTAGTACCATGCAGAGGAGTTCTAGCTTCAGCCTCCCTTCTCGGGCCAACACGCTCCCCTCCCCCTATGACCAAACCGGTTTTCACCTCCGCTTCGCGGGGCAGCCCTGCCAAGGGGCACCGGGCCTCACCACTTGTGGACAGGTGGGAGACCTCTGGAGCCCCGATCCAAACCCCGTGGGAGGGGTCCGGCTTGACATGCAGCGATCCCTCTCCTGCTCCCATGAGCAGTTCTCAGGATACTGCACCCCTTCGGCCAGCAGCACCCCAGCCTCAACGCCCGAGCTGGCCAGACGGTCTAGTGGCCTCGCCCGCAGCCGTTCACAGCCGTGTGTCCTCAATGACAAGAAGGTTGGTGTCAAACGGCGGCGTCCCGAAGACACACAGGACCAGAGACCTTCACTTGACCTGGCCAAGATGGCACAGGTAAGACCCGCCCTTGCAGGTAGGGACTGGAGTGTGGTGGATCTGCTGAGCCAGCTGCAGAACTCCAAAGGTGGCCTGTGCTTTTGAATTCCACTCAAAGAAAGGTTATTAAGAGTCTATTTCTCCGTTGACAATCAGAAACCCCTTTTCCCTGTAGCATTCTGTGCCTGGGGTGAGGGGCAGACAGGTAGCGAGAGGCAGGTGTTGTGTGCAGGCCCGTGTGACTCGGCACCATAATCTCCTGCCCAGGAACAGCTCCTGCAAGGAGTGTTTGTACCCGCTGAGCTGACACCACTCAGGGAGATGGTCCTGAGGCAGGAACACTTACTCCTCTGACCGTTTCTTCGATTGTTGCTGTTAAACACTATACGGTTGGTTCTAACTCTTAGCAACCCTGTACAGGGTGTCCAAGGAGCAGCTGGTAGGTCTGAACCGTTAATCTTCTAGTTAGCAATCGAATTCTGATCCTAGCCTATCCACACCAGTTTCTTTGAGGAGACTGTCAACAATGTTAGGCCACCAAAAGTTTGTGATCAATAGTGTCGGTGCTGCTCTGTGAGTGTCCTCACTGGCCACTGCTGATGAAGCCACTGGCCACACGTCCACCACTTGATCTTTGTCCTGGGGCCCTGCTTTGTCCTAATGCCTGTCTTGGGTGTGGATTTGAATGCAGGGAACTTGAACTTGAGATACCATCGTCGGGTGGATGTTGTCTGAGCCTAAGCAGTGTCTGCAGTGAGTTCTTATTGATGACAGTATAGTCGGACGGTCAGGAGGGAGGACAGCAAGGACAGGCCCATGTGGCTCGGGATCCAGGAACATCTCGGGTGACCCTGGTCTTTTCTCGTCTTGCGTGTGTTAGTCTCGATCACAGTTGACTGTGAGGTGGCTGGAGAGGCACTCGGTGTGTGGCCAGGCACGTTGCACACCCTCTACTTTGGATATCTCAGTGCCCAGTGCCCCATTGTCCTTTCACTTTAGAATGAAAATGCAGATTCTGTTCATGAGAGTCCTTCTCTCCCTCAGCTCCTCTCTCAGCCTCACAGCCCAGACTTTGTGTGAGCGCTGAGGACAAGTTTGAGGTGTGTCCTGCTGCTAAGCCTACTGGGTTTGGGGCTGACCCGCACCCTCTGCCCCTCATTTCCAGTTTCCATTTCCTGCATTGCGGCCCCTGACCTGTCCCTTCCTTTTCCCCAGTACTGGGTGTTTTTGACAGTGCAGCTGGACAATGAGCCAGTACACTCGTTTACATTGGACAAACAAGTGGATTTTTCCTTCTCTAGAAAAATGTCAATAGGCCTAAATCCTGGAAAAGCAGACATTGAAGGCTGCTGGGGAGCAACTGGCTGAGGACCTGTGCCTCCACCGGGCACTGTACTGAGTGTATGTACCTCAGGCACGTGGGCAGGGGCTGTGTCAGTGGGAGACGCCGTAACAGCTCACACAGGCAGCAGATTCGGGGGACTTCAGAAAGAGATCCAGAGCCTTGAGTTCTGGGCGTGCTAACTGGCTTCAGTTTGATGGTTAATGCCGAGCTTATTTTATTAGCTAATAAGCTAGATGGGTAATAAAAACAACTTACATGTTATTGCGTTTTATTAGCCACTAATTGGAATGACACAATTGGCGTCACTGGAGACATTTCCCATCCTCCTCTTGGTAGAAACGGTTTTAAAAATATGTTGTGTGATGAGACTGCCCAGGTGCATAGCTTGTCTCACTGGTGTTGGGCAGTTCTCCAAGGCCCGAAGAGAGGGTGCTGGGCTGGGCTGGAGGAGACTGCTTGGGTGTGGAGAAGTTTCTGAGGGGTCTGTGGCCACGGCCCTGGTGTTGAACACCCTCCACCCCCAAGCTTACCCTTCTCGCCATGTGGCTCTGCCATCTTGTCTCCCACAGGCTCTGTGGCTTCACGTGGTAGACCTGTCTTTCTAGGGGACCCTGGAAAAGAGGTCCAGGGTGGTCGCTGTGTGTTTGGGAAAAGGTAGGGTGCTGGTATGAACCAGTGAGCTGGGTGTGTTGTGGTACATGGGTCTGTTATCTGGCAGACTGCATGGCGCCACTGAAGGCTGCTGGGGACCGACTTGCCAAGAGGCCTGTGTCTTCACCGGGCACTCGAGGGTCTGTAGCTCTGGGACCAGTTGAGGGGGACACGTAGCATCTCTGGTTCAGGTTCCCACCAGCTCTTCCTTAAGCGGATCTTGATGCTGAAATCGCTCTCACGGTTCTTTTTGACCCTGTTTCTTCATGTGCCTTTTAGAGATTGGAGGCAGGAGGTTCCCGTTGGGTGTGGTGTGAAGGGTTCTGGGATGGGTAAGGGAGCAGTGTGCCTATTCTGTGAGCACTTGGGAGTGGCCCCGCTTCCCTGCCAGTGTTGACCGGAGGACCAGGGTGGCTAGAGGTGAGGATAACAAAGCCTCTTCCGCAGGTCTGTAAAAATGGGGTCAGGGAGAGAGTGGGAAGGGCAGAAGGCCAGAGAGCTCGAGGCCCACCCGGGCCTCCCAATCTGTACCTGTCTCACCTGCAACCTGGCTGAGCTTGGGATGTGTATGTTCATCTGTAAAGTGGGTATAACGAGCTGGCACCCACTGAAGACTTTGCTGGAAGCAGGGGTGTCAGAGTGGACAGGGCTCAGGGTTTGTCCATTCCTTCCCCTCCCAGGAGACCAGGACTTCTGCCTCTGGGTCTGCCCTGAACCTTCTGGATCCACACTGAGCTGAAGGCCCCCAGAGGAGGACCAGGGGTGCAGGGGTTTGCCATGAGAGTGGTTGTAAGGAATGGGTGACCTCGCTTGGAGGGGATGCACAGCCAGCAGGAGGGTGTGAGGGCTGAGCCCCCTCCTCCCCCCAGGGCCCAGCTCTTGTCACTGAGGAGCTGCGTAGCCCTGAGTCACTTGATTAACATGTCTGTGCAGCAAGTAGCCACAATTCCCTTTTCCTTATAAAACTGCCGGAGCTGTAAGGGGAATAACGCGGGTGTGTATGTGTTTAGGAGCCCTGGTGGCGTGGTGGGTCAAGTGTTGAGCTGCTAACTAAACATGGTCAGCAGTTCAAAACCACCAGTTGCTGTGTGGGAGAAAGATGAGGCTGTCTGCTCCCGTAAAGACTTACATCCTTAGAAACCCTAAGGTTCCATCTACTCTATCCTTTAGGTTCACTATAAGTTGAAATTGGGTGGTATAATGTGTGTGTGTGTATGTGTATATGATGTGTGTGTATAATGTGTGTGTTTATATGATGTGTGTGTATAATGTGTGTGTATGTGTATATGATGTGTTTGTATAGTGTGTGTGTGTATAATGTGTGTGTATAATGCGTGTGTTTATATGATGTGTGTGTATAATGTGTGTATGTGTATATGATGTGTATGTATAATGTGTGTGTATGTGTATATGATGTGTGTATAGTGTGTGTGTATGTGTATATGATGTGTGTATATAATGTGTGTATGTGTATATGATGTGTGTGTATAATGTGTGTGTGTATGATGTGTGTGTATGTGTATATGATGTGTGTATATGATGTGTGTGTATAATGTGTGTGTATGTGTATATGATGTGTGTATAATGTGTGTGTATGTGTATATGATGTGTGTGTATGTGTATATGATGTGTGTGTATAATGTGTGTGTATGTGTATATGATGTGTGTGTATAATGTGTGTGTATGTGTATATGATGTGTGTATAATGTGTGTGTGTATGTGTATATGATGTGTGTGTATAATTGTGTGTGTATGATGTGTGTGTATGTGTATATGATGTGTGTGTATAATGTGTGTGTTTATATGATGTGTGTGTATAATGTGTGTGTGTATGTGTATATGATGTGTATGTATAATGTGTGTGTAGTGGTTAAACACTCGGCTGTCGGTGTGTGTTTGTAATGTGTTAAACCCTGGGCTGCCAACCAAAATGTTGAGGATTCTAAGCTACCCAGTGACTCCAAGGGGACACAACCAGGCCATCTGCTTCCGGAAAGACTGCAGGCTAGAAAAACCCCAGGGCAGCTCTAGTCGGCCTCGTTAGGTTGTTGTGAGTCAGAATGGACTTGGTGGCCCCCAGCCACATCAGCAGTCTTTCTGCCTGTCTCTGTGAAGATCTGTGTGGGTTTCTGTTTTTCTGTCCTGTCTTTTCCCTTCCATTTCCATCTTCCCTTTTTGCCCTGGCTGTCCGTTTCTTGTTGGTACCGCCTCTTACCTGTGGGTAGCTCCACGTTCAAAGCCAAAGTGATGACATGGTGGAAGGATCGACTTGCCACCCACCTGCAGTGGCCGGCAGGGGTAGAAATGATCTGGGAGCTCCCAGGCATCTTTTTGGCTGTGCCCCTGGGTACCGTCACATCACGTGTCTGCTTAGAAATTGCTTGCCGGTTGCCTTTGCTCACATTGACTTCAAACCCCCAGCATCATGTAGGTCTGCAAGTGACCCAGCCTCCCGGGCCTAGTGGAGGAAAAAGCCCCGACTTGGGAAATGAGGCCAGGATCAGTTCTAGAAGCTTCTGCTTTTCCCTGCCCCTGGATTGGGGTTCTAACACACGGTTCCACAGAGCACACTGCTTCCTCCCTGACACTGTCCAACCCCACGGGGTCTCCCAGAGACCCAGCTGCCAGAGGTCCACGTGACACCTCAGCCTCCCTCTTACAAAGTGACAACGTGTGTTACTGTGCGCAGGGGTGGCAAGGCTAGGTGCAACTCTCACAATGGCCTGTTCTGACGGCCCAGCTCTGGTGACTAGGTGACAGATCACGTGTGTGAACGAAGACTTCAGACGGGCCGCAGTGAACCAGACTGCCGCATTCCTGGGTGTCACCATCCTGGCTGCGTTTTTAACTCCAAGCTGGTCAGCTTGAAAGAGCGACAAATCGTAGTTCTCAACAATGCTGCAGACAGAAGCAAGATGCTTGTGGGGAGCAGCCAGGGTGCCCACACATGGAGCCCCCGAACCTCCCCGCGTGGCCTCAGAACAGACAGCAAGTGTCTCAGGGACCTGGGGAAGTTTGGATA